TTACAAAAAATTAATATCAAGGGTATGTTAACTTGACGAATGTATATGAGAAAGTATATGAGAAAGTATATGAGAAAGTATATGAGAAATTATATACATATCATAATATATATACACCAACATGAAACTGAACATTCTTCACTGCTGTGTATAACTGATTCCTTCTTGATCACTGAAGTACACTTATAAAAGCTCTGACATCATATAAAGACATGTTGTTGTCTTAGTCACTGACTGTTTCAATATCAACATATTAACTGAAGAAAGGTACTTCAAGAACTGTCCTTTCTTGCACCAGAGTTCTTATTTTATAATGGCTTTAAAATTTTTAATGATGTAGGTATCAACACAAAGAAACAATACAAAACCTGCTATTTCTTACAATTAGGCCCATTGATAAAGGTCACCCAAGGTGTGCGACGCTCCAAGTGCATGTCACTATGGAACATGGAACAGGGTTGTCCAGCTGAGAAATGAAGGTGGCTGGAGGATTGATCAGTCACTGGATGATTAGTAACCATTCAGAGCCCAAGACTGAAGGCAAATATGCAATCACTTATGGCTGAATATTGACCATGTATTGAAACCTGAATGGCAGATGTACAATGACAGGTACATTGGCATGAATTCACCTTGTGTTATTAATCATTTTACCAGAATGCAAAAAGGTTTTATTCATTTTACCAGAATACAAAAAGGTAGTTTCTGGCGAATTTCTTGAAAAACATGTATTAATGTGCTGTAACATAATCATGGGGAAGAAAAAGACTTTCCAGCCTTCAAACATCACATTACAATCTGATGAAGAATGTTCACGAGGAGAGTTGAAATACAGGAAAACAAAGCTCGTAAATGACACATTGTGATACACATTCAGTGGGAGTGTTTATGGATGTCAGACGTCCGTCATTATTGTTTAATTCTTCATGAGTATTCATTCACCACATGATTAAGGAGTAAGTATAAATAGCGACGAAGGAATAAATATATATACTCATGTATATATATATCGATGAAGGCGCAAGCATATATGTTGATGGAGTACATATATATGTATATATATGAAGTAGCAAGTATACAAAAAATGTACATATCAATGATGGAGAAAGTATAGAGAACGATGAAGGAGTATATACAGTACAGCCAGAAATTATTGAGAATTTAAAGATTGTACATTTTATATTTTTTTCACTCATTACTCACGTATTAAATGTGAAAATTAGCAGAACATAACTCCAGATTCAAAGACAGGTGAACAGTTAGTATTTTGTCAAGTCACCATGGGCAGCAATGCAGACTTCAATGCAGTGGGGCATACTACTGATCAAAGAAGTTAGAAAGTCGTGGTCCATGCTGTCCCAATATCGGACCACCTCTTCTGTCATTTCAGCAATATTTGTCAGATTTTTCTTATTGACACTTTCCTTCATAAGTCCCCAAACATTTTCTATTGGATTTAGATCAGGGCTATAGCTTGGCCAATCTAATAATGTCATATTTTGGGTCCGAAACCAGACCTGTGAATGCTTTTAACCCAACATGAAGTGTGAGTGATCAAGTCGGTGGGGAGTCTAGACCATCAGAGGAGAGATCACTCTTTATGGAGTCTGTGACAGAGTCAGTAACAAAGCGATTACTGATCATAACGACAGCTTGTGAATAATACCCCACTTTTAATAGGATAATCAGACCCCAAATTTGAAGAGATGCAGTACTTGCATGCATATAGCAGTAGTCAGTATTCAGGGCTGATGATGATGGAATTGACTTTATCTTTAACTGGGGACAAATGTGCTATTGAATAATCAATTTCATTGCATTCATAATTGTGTAAAAAGAATTTGAAAGCCAGAATGAATGCAGTATCTTCAAATGGATCTGAGAGATGTTCCATTTACAAAAAATTAATATCAAGGGTATGTTAACTTGACGAATGTATATGAGAAAGTATATGAGAAAGTATATGAGAAATTATATACATATCATAATATATATACACCAACATGAAACTGAACATTCTTCACTGCTGTGTATAACTGATTCCTTCTTGATCACTGAAGTACACTTATAAAAGCTCTGACATCATATAAAGACATGTTGTTGTCTCAGTCACTGACTGTTTCAATATCAACATATTAACTGAAGAAAGGTACTTCAAGAACTGTCCTTTCTTGCACCAGAGTTCTTATTTTATAATGGCTTTAAAATTTTTTAATGATGTAGGTATCAACACAAAGAAACAATACAAAACCTGCTATTTCTTACAATTAGGCCCATTGATAAAGGTCACCCAAGGTGTGCGGCGCTCAAGTGCATGTCACTATGGAACATGGAACAGGGTTGTCCAGCTGAGAAATGAAGGTGGCTGGAGGATTGATCAGTCACTGGATGATTAGTAACCATTCAGAGCCCAAGACTGAAGGCAAATATGCAATCACTTATGGCTGAATATTGACCATGTATTGAAACCTGAATGGCAGATGTACAATGACAGGTACATTGGCATGAATTCACCTTGTGTTATTAATCATTTTACCAGAATGCAAAAAGGTTTTATTCATTTTACCAGAATACAAAAGGTAGTTTCTGGCGAATTTCTTGAAAACATGTATTAATGTGCTGTAACATAATCATGGGAAGACAAAAAGACTTTCCAGCCTTCAAACATTACATTACAATCTGATGAAGAATGTTCACGAGGAGAGTTGAAATACAGGAAAACAAAGCTCGTAAATGACACATTGTGATACACATTCAGTGGGAGTGTTTATGGATGTCAGATGTTTGTCATTATTGCTTAATTCTTCATGAGTATTCATTCACCACATGATTAAGGAGTAAGTATAAATAGCGATGAAGGAATAAATATATATACTCATGTATATATATATCGATGAAAGCAAGCATATATGCTGATGGAGTACATATATATGTATATATATATGAAGTAGCAAGTATACAAAAAATGTACATATCAATGATGGAGAAAGTATAGAGAACGATGAAGGAGTATATACAGTACAGCCAGAAATTATCGAGAATTTAAAGATTGTACATTTTATATTTTTTTCACTCATTACTCACGTATTAAATGTGAAAATTAGCAGAACATAACTCCAGATTCAAAGACAGGTGAACAGTTAGTATTTTGTCAAGTCACCATGGGCAGCAATGCAGGCTTCAATGCAGTGGGGCATACTACTGATCAAAGAAGTTAGAAAGTCGTGGTCCATGCTGTCCCAATATCGGACCACCTCTTCTGTCATTTCAGCAATATTTGTCAGATTTTTCTTATTGACACTTTCCTTCATAAGTCCCCAAACATTTTCTATTGGATTTAGATCAGGGCTATAGCTTGGCCAATCTAATAATGTCATATTTTGGGTCCGAAACCAGACCTGTGAATGCTTTTAACGATGTTTTGGGTCGTTGCCTTGCTTGAAAATCCAAAAATTTCCATAGAACACGTGAACAGATGGAAGTAAATGTCCCTCGAGAATATCTGTGTACCGCTCACTGTTCATATTCCCTTCAAATACACAGAGGGGCGTTGCCCCTAACACAGATATGCCACCCCACATGTTAAATTTTGGACTGTACTTTGGGCGCTGATACAAAGGTTTTTCAGTTTGTTTGGTCCAGAATTTCAGTGTATTAGGAAACAGCCACACAGAACTTTCATCTGAGAAAATCACATTGTCCCAGTTAAAATTTCTATGCTGTATCACCAGTTCAACCTTCGCTCCTTTTGTTCAGGTTTCATGATCCGGGTGATGGAATTCCTCGACTTATCTGCCAACCCATTGCATGCAGCTCAGTTCTAATTGTCTCCTTACAGACAGCCACAGTTCCTCTATCAATCATATCCAGCCTTAAGTTTTTCTAAACTCCCTCGTTTGTTTTTAGAAACAAGAATACCAAGCCGCCTCCTGTCACGGACAGTCAATTTTCTGGGCCTACCTGCGCCTCCCTGGTGCTCAGTGCCATATCCATTTGCAATATTTTTCAAAACACGATATACTGTGGACAAAGGGATGCCTGTTCTACTTGAAATCACTTTAGCTGATCTGATGTCCTTGTCATAATACTCTAAAATCACTTCCTCTTCTCTAAATCATCCATACTGAGGATCACTGAAAATGTCGTCTGCTAGCAAGTAAACAAAGGGGGATAACTCTTCACAAACTAATGAAAAAGGATTAACGGAGTTGTCTCTCTTGAATGAAACCAAGTACTTGATAGCTGGTCAAGGTTGTTTATACTATAAATCCAAATAAACATATTCCTAAAATTCTCAATAATTTCTGGTCATACTATATATAAAATGATGAAGGATCATGTATAAATATTGACGAATGAGTGAGTGAGTGAGTTCAGTTTCACACCGCACTCAGCAATATTACATCTATATGTCCTGTAAATAATCGGATCTGGATCAGACAATCCAGGGATCAATGACATGAACATCGATCTAAGCAATTGGGATACGATGACATGTGTCAACCCAGTCAGCGAGTCTGAACACCCGATCCTGTCAGTTTGCCTCCTACGACATGCAGGAGTTACTGAAGATCAATTCTAACCCGGATGTTCACGAGTAATTTACTAAAGGAAGGAATACATATATATAATGATAAAGGTAGGTAGAGGTGTGTGTGTGTGTGTGTGTGTGTGTGTGTGTGTGTGTGTAATGAAGGAATACATATATATAATGATAAAGGTAGGTAGAGGTGTGTGTGTGTGAGTGTAATGAAGGAGTACATATCTCCTATGGTGTGTGTGTGTGGGGGGAAATGATAAAGGAGTGTGTAGAATGATAATGGAGTAAATATACTGATGAAGGAGTATGTATATATACCGATGTAGGAATGAGAACATATACCAGTGCCGGAGGAAGTATATATACTGATGAAGGATTAGTAAATCCTCAGAAATGTTGTGTTCCTCCTAATAAAGTAGTTGATATCCATTAACTATCTCCTGATGGTGAAACTACTTACAGCTTTCATCGGCGGATGGTCCAACACTGGGTTCTGGGAGCCCGAGAGGTCAAAGCCATCTTCCAGTCGCTTAACATCAAAATAGTATTTTCTGAAAAATAGTATTGTTATATTTAAATAAAGTACAGATTTCTGTAGAAACCTGACAACTGCCTAGTCTGGGCCGAAATTGTACAAATCAAGGAAATTCCTGTTAAACCACTGCCATCATTATCTGTACATACGGCTACAGTAGTAACACAGGGAAGACAGGAACAACAGCAGAGGTACAGATAAGCTGCGTATCTGCGTAAATTACGCAAATATTTATGAGAAAGCTCAATTCCTATTAAGTCTATTGCGTACAAGTACGCTTGAATTTTTGATTAAATACTCAATAAATGTGATCTTACATGCGTACACACAAAATGTCAAATCTTAGCTTGCATACCGGTGGATAGATAAAATAACTGAAGGATTTTGAGAGGTTCTAATTCAGGACATGAACTTGACAACTTGTAATCTTTCTTATCGTTTCTCATATTACAGATCAAAGATAAATAACAAACACTAACATTTAAACTTTATTATATTTTTAAAATTAATGGACAATGGCAAAATACCCAAGTGAGTTTGAGTCAAGTGAGTGAAATATATTTATTTAGGATACCCTATTGAGATGAACACAAGCGAGTACATAACTCATTGACCCAAAAAGTTATCTGTAGCTCTGCAACATATCATTTTCATGTTTCAAAATGTTATGTACATGATATCACATCACACATTTTGGGAATATTTACTTATCTCTCTCCCTAACATGTTACGCAGGTGATGTTTATGTTTGTGAAATATTTATTTCACCATGAAGACCTTGCCCGACAAACCTCTGTACAATATTGTTCTCAATGCTTGGAGGTACACTTTCTTCATTCCCTGAGTTTATCAATTCATGCATTGAAATCAACAAATAATGAACACTGACTGGTGAAAATGAAATTTAAAAGATTCAATCTAACGACTCAACACAACAATATGCTGATTGCCAACTATATACATACGTTCAGGCACTGGGCCCAGCAATTTCCTACAAGTCACAGGTGACATGGTGGTATTACAAAAGTTGAAATACTTTGACACAGTCCTTGATTCAAAATCCGCAAACAGAACAATTGAAAATCTCAGAATATCTGAATGATGGCCAAATTTGCATGGCATTTCTTTTCACAGAAAGTTGCGATCATTTCAAATGTTAATGCCATACTGATGGGAATAATAGACTATTATTTTGACAGAATCAGTCTTACAGCTTGTCATTGTCATACAGAATACCCTATACCCAGGCTTCATGATTAGAACACACTTTCCTAATAAGGTAAGTGACACTTGGTTTGCAGTTGCATGTTACAAAACTACAACATTTTTTCAGTCATTTGGATTTTTTTTTTTCAGGTGTATGCATTGACAGCTGGCAAACTTAATAAAGATTTACTTTTATGTTTTATTCATTTTATTAGTTATGCAGGTCTAATGGGCCAAATGTTCCCTATCACATCATTCACATAAAAATACAAGAAAACAATGTGTGAAAGAAATCTCATCCTCCAAGTCACATAACCTGTAACTGTGTGGTGTAAAGTTTACTCGGGGTGGTACACTCCTATAGACCACATGGAGCTGATGAACTTCTTATTATCCATAACACTGACACAATGTGCTCAACAGTATCCTTTACAATATTTATGAAGTAATATGATATAATTTATAGCTCTCAACTATCTGATAACAGGTCTTATCAACCATTAACTGTTGCTTCACTGGCAACATTGTGTAACAATAGCAACATGTAATCTCTCTCGAACGACATGCAAATAGTGTTTTGAAAGTTCCTTAGTTATGTCCGCATATTTTCTATGGCTCATCGTCAACATCAGTCTTATCCGTGGCTACCTTTTACTTCGATGTCAATACTTACAGCTTCTTGGCGACTGTTTTTATGACTTGTTCGTTGGACGTCATAGTTGTGTTGTTATATCACCACATGTCCCGACACAAATATTGTTAAAACAAGCGCTATATTCCGCCCGAACACAAGTTTCAACACTTGCAGCTCATTACACACACCTCGTCGTTCAGAGCCTCCTCACGAAGCTGCATACAACAACTACCTCCGCGGTTGTCGGATTCCTAAAATATAGTTCCTAACCTAGACTGAGTTTTTTATTGTAGTACGAAGAATGTATTCAAGGTAAACAGTTTACATTACATGTCTATTATACTGAAATTCGTGAAAAACTATTTTAAAGAATATCTTTATCTGTACGATACTATCCGCGAATGAATACATAGTTGTTGTCAAAGCAGGTGGTTTCTAAGACGAATGCTCAATGTACGTTATGGGTTTCCGGTGTGAAAAGTGGCTTAAGGGGAGTAACTCGGAGTATTATGATCACTCCTCGTGTCAAGCAAACGTACGTAAAAGATGCACGGAATGAAAGTCCCACAACAGCAACTACGTACAGTAGTATTCGAAAACATGGAACTGTCAGCTGTTTCATGAGACAGTAATATATGCAGACAGAATTGCTGCGACAGTGTAGAAGAAACGAAAACATTGCATTACATAGCGTACCAAAATACATAGCGTCTAGAAACCAATTACTAATTGACTTAGAAAGAGGACAATGTGCACATTTTCTCTTGCTCTTCCATCCAATGTTCATCCACGTATGTATATCCAGATGCAGAGTATCAGAATGCCGTACACCATCTGTGTTTTATGTTTACAGCACCTATTTCATGTTTTGCATTTCGAGGATTTATGGGCAGAATGGAAGTCGACCCTCCAAAATTTCCCATTCGCAGGAAGGTGACCTCCAGTTTGTCTTTGATGTTGTTATAACAAGGGATTAACAAGGTACTGCCGTCAGTGGGTCATCTCAAAGTGACTACAGGCCCTGACTGGCAACGAACAGTGTTCATTCCGATCAACTCAAAGATTACATGAAGTGTATTCACTTCATTATGTTCACTCAGTGTCGTATTAAAGAACTCAAGTAGATTGTAAGTTTCTCCCAACAGCACGTGGTGGCAGGTATTTATGTGTAGCTGACTTTATGTATAGAATTGGTAAAAGAAAGAATGGGGACTGGGTTTCTGGAAATGCACTACCAAAGGCTGCAGTGCCACTGTTTCCACTGACGAAGGAGGCGCACAACCATAACCATCCTCCTGTCCACAACGACATAAAGGTAAGTTAAACAACACATAATTTTATTTTAAACGAGACATGTAAAATAATATATACACAGATCACATATCAATAAATCAGAAAAATACATATTGAGATTATGTTGATTTGTGTATTTCAAATGCAATAGTTTATTCTTTTACTTTTTAGGTGCAGGAGACTCTTCAAAATCTCAAAACCAAGGCTGCAACGACCCTCACACCGATGCCTGCCTTGTATGAAGAAGAAGTGTCAACCCTTAGAGATGGAGGCTGGACAGGCGAGACACGATCCCTGGTAGAAGTTATGCCGACGTTCCACAGCAAGAAAGACTCCCTCTACCGTGCCAGGAAGAAGACATTTCCAGGTCTGCCATCCCATAGAAGAGACCTTGTCATTCCCGACACCTATTAGACGACAGATTCCGACCACCGCTTCCTCGTCATTGACGACGTAAGGCTGCACTCTCGCAGATATGCCCCAAGATCGAAGGTGTGAACAATTAGCGGACTATGTTACCACCCAGCGGATTGAAGGAGACCTGACACCAGCAGTCTGGTACCACCATGACACCGAGGGGCCCCGTACCAACAACCACCACGACACCGAGGGGCCCCGTACCAACAGCCACCACGACACCGAGGGGCCCCGTACCAACAACCACCACGACACCGAGGGGCCCCATACCAACAACCTCCTCGAAACCGAGGGGCCCGTACCAACAGCCACCACGACACCGAGGGGCCCGCACCAACAGCCACCACAACATCGGGGGCCCCCGTACCAACAACCACCACGACACCGAGGGGCCCCTGCACTCAACAGCCACCACAACACCGAGGGGCCCCGTACCAACAACCACCACGACACCGAGGGGCCCCGTACCAACAACCTCCTCGAAACCGAGGGGCCCCGTACCAACAACCACCACGACACCGAGGGGCACCGTACCAACAACCACCACGACACCGAGGGGCCCCGTACCAACAACCACCTCGAGGGGTGGCATGGTCGCATTAAGAAGACTGTCACCAAGGCCCACCCAAACGTCTTCGAGCTCATCCGGTTCCTGGCATCTGAACAAAAGAAGATAGAGATCCATCTGGTCCAGTATGCCGCTGGTCAGCGCCTCCCTCCCAAGAAAAAGAAGTACCAGGACGTCCAGGGAAGACTCGGCAACTTGAATGACAGGCTACTGAGGGAGGATATCGACGTTATACACTTCGCTGATGCTACCTCCCATATTGTAAAACTCCAGTAATGTACAATGAATCTTATGCTGAATTGTACATTTATATTTTATATTACAGATATCTTGGTTGGTTTATTTCTTATACGAACTCGTCTCATTTAAAGACGCTTTGGCGCTAAGAGCTCAGAGTGCGGAGAGAACTCAACATTTCGGAAGTCAATCCACGCCACTCAGTTGCCCCGTGTGGTACAAGCCTTCCCAGTCTTGTGTTGCAGTTCTACTTAGAGAGATGGACTGAGACAGAGTAAACCTATGTGAGTATAGAACGTGGTGTTGCGTTTATGCATGAAGGTATGTGTGCCAGTACATGAATGTAAAGCGGTTAGTTAGGAGTTACGGTCGCCCGACCCCTCACTCCTTGACTTAGCATCCTTGGGCTGACCAAGCTATAGGAGATCCTGAGCTACCATCTCCTCTGACAATGTGGAACGACCATAATCAATAGTGTTATAAGGTAAAAATGCATTCCTAAAACCATGAGAGAATTACATCAGAGTCCGTATTTAGATGTGCAGTTTTGCTCATGAGTCATTACGGTTAGGCACGGTATGGAGACGGAAAGTTTCCATAGAATGGCGTTTAGCCGTAGGCTATGGAAAGAGAGACAGAACACATTGGTTGTGGAAGACATAACAGATTAATCTTATACTGAAACATACAACAAATCAATAAAAAGGGGAGAGTGACCGAACGATTCTTACCGGTACTTTTCTAATCGTAGTATTCACGAGTGCAAGGTCGGATACAGGATTAACGAATCAAAACGATTAGTTGAAACATGTGATCAAAATTAGGCCAGGCTCGAACCATATAAAAAGAACTTTGGGCACTGAGCGAGTGGTGCGCGCTTTTTAGTGACGGAAGCCAGTCCACGTCACTCAGTTGCCCCGTGTGGTACTAACCTGCCCTGTCTCTTGTTGAAGTTGTAGTTAGAGAGATGGACTGAGACAGAGTAAAAAGTATGTGAGTATAACTTGGTGTTGCGTTTATCTATGAATGTATGTGTGCCAGTGCATGAATGCAATGTGGTTAGTTAGGAGTCCAGGTCGTCCGACCCCTCACTCCTTGACTTAGCATCCTGCAACGGACCAAGCGAGTGGAGCGCCAGAGCTACCATCTCCCAGGAAAATGAGGAACGACCATAATTAATAGGTAACTGGAGTAGGGTTTACTAACGCACAAACGCCAGTTACGACAATAGGTAACTGTGGTAGGGTTTACTAACGCACAAACGCCAGTTACGACAATAGGTAACTGTGGTAGGGTTTACTGTAGCCCAAAAGCCAGTTACGACAAGCCTAAGTTTACTTAGACTGTGGTATATCTGGACCACACAATCCAGTGATTGACATCACGAGTATCGATCTACGAATTTGGGCTTAAGATGGCATGCATCAACCAGGCGAGTGACTGAGCCTTGATTCCCGATCCCGTTTGTCGCCTCTTACGTCAAGCATCGGTTGCTGAAGACCCAAGTTTGACCAGGAAGTTGATGGGCGACAGGCCGGACTGAAGCAAAGGTCTTCAAGGTTTGGAGGTAATAAGTTGTAGGAAAGTGTAATCTGTAAACTAAGATTAAAACAGGATTTCACTTAACATGACCGGGACTAGCAATATAAGTAAGAGCTGGTGATACGTGTTGATGACACACATGTATAAAGTAAGAGCTGGTGATACGTGTTGATGACACACATGTATAAAGTAAGAGCTGGTGATACGGGTTGATGACACACATGTATAAAGTAAGAGCTGGTGATACGGGTTGATGACACACATGTATAAAGTAAGAGCTGGTGATACGGGTTGATGACACACATGTATAAAGTAAGAGCTGGTGATACGGGTTGATGACACACATGTATAAAGTAAGAGCTGGTGATACGCTGGTGATGACACATGTATAAAGTAAGAGCTGGTGATACGGGTTGATGACACACATGTATAAAGTAAGAGCTGGTGATACGGGTTGATGACACACATGTATAAAATAAGAGCTGGTGATACGGGTTGATGACACACATGTATAAAGTAAGAGCTGGTGATACGGGTTGATGACACACATGTATAAAGTAAGAGCTGGTGATACGGGTTGATGACACACATGTATAAAGTAAGAGCTGGTGATACGGGTTGATGACACACATGTATAAAGTAAGAGCTGGTGATACGGGTTGATGACACACATGTATAAAGTAAGAGCTGGTGATACGGGTTGATGACACACATGTATAAAGTAAGAGCTGGTGATACGGGTTGATGACACACATGTATAAAGTAAGAGCTGGTGATACGGGTTGATGACACACATGTATAAAGTAAGAGCTGGTGATACGGGTTGATGACACACATGTATAAAGTAAGAGCTGGTGATACGGGTTGATGACACATAAGAGTATAAAGTAAGAGCTGGTGATACGGGTTGATGACACACATGTATAAAGTAAGAGCTGGTGATACGGGTTGATGACACACATGTATAAAGTAAGAGCTGGTGATACGGGTTGATGACACACATGTATAAAGTAAGAGCTGGTGATACGGGTTGATGACACACATGTATAAAGTAAGAGCTGGTGATACGGGTTGATGAAAGTATAAAGTAAGAGCTGGTGATACGGGTTGATGACACACATGTATAAAGTAAGAGCTGGTGATACGTGTTGAT